CACCACCTTTCAGGCTATTTTGATGATTAATTATACTACAATTCACTTTGAACTTGTCTGAAAATTTTCATACATGTTAAGTAACAAGGGAATTCTACTGGTTACAGATCTAAATCAGATTTTGTTTTGTTTTTTTTAAATACCTGAGCAAGTAAAATACTAGTGAGTAAGGAAGGAGGAAGGAGTTTCCTGAAAGACAAATTAAAAAACTCAACAAGTTTCATAGCTCTACTTGATATCTTGAGAGAAAAGCATGCTGAATATAAATTCTTGTAGATCAGATTTTTATTTTTTGGAGTCGCATGATCCAAAATTTATACCCTCCCTAATCCAAGGCAAGAAAGTGAAGGATGTTGAACTTGCCTTTTATTTGATTTGGTATCAAACTTTTTGGACATATCAGTAAAACATGAGAGTTTTCATGCTATGGGACTGGTCATTAAGAACTCCTATACATGTGCAGGGAGGCTGCTCCAACACGTAATTACAGCACGTTGGAGCAGACTCGATTAAATATTTTCATGGTAATTGCTGCAGTCTAGCAAACTTCAGTATCACTTGATGAGCTTTAGTTCAAAGTGCCCCGCCACCATTTTTCAGCACAGGGATGCTGATACACATGCCACTCCGGGTGCTTTAATTAGCATGGCTCCTGGAGCTGTGCTAATTAAAGCTCCACCCCCCACATCCCGGAACACATTTATGAACACCCTATATTTTCTACGTCTATTTAACCACCTTTAAAGTGAGAAGAGTATTAACTAGTGACTACTACCCTTGAACAGTTCACAAATGTGCATCAGTATCAACTCAGATAGACCAACAATCCACATCTTTACAGAAGGATGTTGTTTTTGAACTAGCAATTTTGTTTTGGAACAAAACAGAGCTAAAAGAGATGGCATCAAACCCAGTGAACCATGGAAATTCAGCAATTTTTACTTAATATATAGTTAAGGTTAAGTCCATTCAAGTGATCTGCCACCAAAAGGGGACATCCTATGCTGCTTATCATTTGAAGAACAGCTTATTATGTTAGAATAGGCTAACATCAACATTAAATAATTATTTTAATATGCGCTCAGTTCTAAATGGAGGATGGATTATGAGTACACCTTTTTGTTTTCTGACTACTAAACAAAGATATACAGCGTGGTTCTTGTGTTTATTCCTTTGGGGATGCTTTTTCTTTAAGCCTTCATGGAAGGTTGTAAGGAACATAATTTTCTTAAAGGAACGTTGCATAAACATGCATTTAGGTCGTTTACTAGCAAAAATATATGCGTGTCCTGTGAACCAAAAAGGTTTTATACTGGGTAAGTATATTCATTCATATATTTTTTCATGTACATTATTTACACAATGGACCATAATGCTCCCAAAGGAGACATTCTGCTCTACAAAATGCAAGGTGCTTAGCTGACAGACCAGATACTATGGAATTGTTTAGGTTTGCTAGGACACATTTAAGCATTTTTCATTTGAAAAATTATTATAACTGCAATATATTGCACAGAAACAAATTTATTGTCACATGGTTCTCCATGGGAACAACTACACACATCCAATTAAGTTCTAAATAAGATACATGCAATGATGTGTTTATGCACAGTAACTCTGATTTAAACATAAACTGCTTTATCATAAGCACATTCAAATGCAAAATGGGCCCAAATCACTTCAAACTAATCATCTGCAAAATTCTGTTTAAAGGCAAAGCAAAGAAAGCATCTAAACTTTTCATATTTATTATTATTTGGTTTAGTCACATATATTTAAGAAAATCACCACAAAGTCTTTTTTAAAAGTTACAAAAAGACCTGTACATGAGCAAAACTATTCATGTTAAGGTTTGGTCCTAGACAAAATTTGCATGGCTGGACAACTCCTAAAGCTCTCAATTGGAATTGCTAGCCTTGTCATATCTGTAGTTGTTCTTAAAGTCCCACCTCCTTTTTTTATACACCATTAGGCAAGAAACTCAGCTTTCATTTACAAACAAAAGCTAGTTCCTACAGTTTGTGGTTGCAGAGAAAAGCTTAAAAGAGTGACCCAAGTGAAGTCTGAAGACTCAAAATAGGAAAGCAAATCAAGAGAACTTCATTTATTTTCCCTTTTAAATCTCATGATTCTTACATCATTCTGACTCATTATTTTGAATACTTAAGGCTGGCAATTCTGGAAAGTGTTCACACAAACCTTGGTGCTAAATGATTCTTAAAGTTACAAAATTTAAAAATAAACCACTTTAAGTATAAGAACATGTGGTACGCCAAGGAATGAAAATTTTGGAACACAGGGAGGTTGACAGAGGGATTATTTTTTGCTACAACTGATGCTATCATACTTGGTAAATTCTGTACTACAAAATGAAGATGCCTTTTGAATAGCAATCAGTTCCCTAAATCTTATTATAACAAAGGATTTTAATTAAACTTTGAAAGCACTTTAACATCTTTCAGTCTGAGCCCGCCCTGGATAGTGCCACTTGAGGTGGTCTCCTTCAATGAGTGATGAAGCCAATCTCTTGAAACCACAGGTTAAGACATCTTTTGCTTCTGTCTGCCACTGTTTCTCACAGCTAGCTAGCTACAAAGCTGCTGCCTTGGTACCAAGTGGGAAGAGCTTTCCCTGTGGGAACTCTCTGCTATCTCCAAAACATACTGCTTGCTGTGTTCTTGACGTGGGTGGAAAGTACATTTAAAATATTAAGCAAGAACACACAGTGTTAAAGGGTATGAGCTGGATCCCAAATTCATTCACTTCAATGGGAGCTTTTCCACTGACTTTAATGGGAATGATATCAGGCTCTGAGGAGAGGGAGCAGGGCAGGAAGAATACTACAGTTTCTTATATTTCAAGTCTCCTCTGAGAGCCGGATTACATGCCAAACATGAGGAAAGTGAAGGGCTTATTCAAGTCACCTCAAATAAAACAATCATTCACTTCTTCCCCAGTAGTTTGTGAAACCTGGCTGTACTACATGGAAAGTATTTAAGGAAAATGAGCAAAGCTGATTCAAAAACCCAAAATAGAAATGAACAGTCAGGAATTTCTGAAAGGGGTCAGGAGAAGGCAACAGATCTGCTCTGGTTTTAAGCATATACCATCCAGCAAGACTGCATTTTAAATCATCCCCCATCATCCTTTCCTCGCCCACCTATCTCCCACCTTTTTATAGGAAAACATAAAAAGGTAAATGCCTCTCAAAGCAACTGAGGACTGACTAGCAGTTTTCAGATGCTGCACTAGAAAACACTGGTAATCTTTCTTTAATTTCCAACATTTTATGGGGGGGGGGGGGAAGGGGTCGTGATCCTGATGAAAGCAGCAAAATAAAAGAGGGATTTGAAACAGGCTCATCTTCACCCAAGCCATCTGAAAAGTCTTTATGCAATCAAGGGGATATTATTTCAAGAGACAGAAAGAAGGGGCAAGGGATTCAGGTTGCTAAGGCGACATGTTGAAGCTGACATTCCTACATAAATTTCCATTTATACTGAGGAAGAAAAGAAGCTCTCCTGGAAAGTTTGTTTAGATTCCTGGTAACTGAATGAAGGTGGCATTAAAAGTATATATATATTTTTGCAATCATGTCACACAAATCTAAAGCAAGCAAGAGCCAAACCCACCAAATGTTGTGCAGCACTGACAACAAATCAAATCATTACAACACTGACAGCAACAAAGGAATGCCTGCGATTTTTCCACGTACATATTATGTTGGCTCTGAAAATATTAAAGGATTTCAAGAAGCCAAGAAAAGTAGAAATGCAAGCTTTCAAAGCAAGCAGTAGAAAGCCAGACAAGCAGTAAGTGATCTTTTCCTGTATGGTTACCAAAAAATCTGAGGGCAAAGACTGATCCAAATGGATGATTTAGCAGGCTTTATGCGTGGGCTTTGGTTTAATTTGCAAATGTTTCCATTGGGACTCCAGAAGTTGTTGCAATGAAGCCTAAAACACTCCATGAGAAAAAAAAAGAGACAGATTTTTATTGAGAGAAATCCAACAGGCAGCTTGTGTCATTCACAACCAGCTTCTGAATATCCCAAGAAAGGTTTAAAGGAGAAAGCCACCAGGTTTTTTCTCCATTCATGAAAAAGGGACAAAAAATGCTGAAGAAGAGACACCAAGAAACCAAATTAAGTGACAATAAGGCAGAAGGAGCTTAAAAGGGAAGGAAGAACAGGAACTTGCTAAGAAGATGCACAGACACATCCAAGGGGGCAGAGAAGAGCAAAAGGGATAAGAAAATCCAAAATGTGTCTTTGCTCAGGACAAAGTAAAAAAAAAAACCGTGGTTTCCATGAGCTTGTAGATCTGCCTAGACAAGAGATAACTTTGCAGGCAATTCCCAGCTGGAGCACAGAGATGCTCCTTAATCTCCACCGAATTCTCATGATGTGGCAAGCAACCGCCACCCCACAAAAACCAAAAACCAGCCACAACTCGGGACCTTTTGGGGAAACACTGAGACATAAGGGGCCACCTGGTTACCTTAAAGGCAGTGCCCCTTCTTTAAGCCCCTCACTGCCTCCTTGACCATCCAACTGGGGCAGGGCAGGTGCCCCACAGAGCTCCCTTCCGCATGCATGATTTACACAAAGCCTTCTCCAATCCTTTGGGGGCTAAAAGGGATAGATGGGCAGGGAGGCAAGCCTGGGGGGAGGCGGAAGGGTGACTATGGCCGATTGGAAACCGGGATGTGGTGGGGAGGGAAAGGATGGCTGGGGGGCTGCTGAACCGGGAGCAGATGGGGTGAGTGGGGAGCCCAGGCTGGTGGCCAGGCGAGGATAAAGGTCAATGGAGGGGAGAAGGGGACACAAGGGTGATGGCACAAAGGGAGCCAAGGCTGGGGTGCCTGGGAGGGGAGGATGGCGAGGGAGCGGATGGGGGGAGAGGCAGGAGCCGGCTCCCAACCCCATCCCGTCCCCTTCTGTCTGGTCTTCCAAGGTGGAGCCGGAGCTGCCACGGCTGGGGGGTTGGGGGGGCTCTCACCGCTGTGCAGGGTGGACTCGCAGATCCAGTCCAGGTCGCTGAGCTTGCGGCAGGACTCCCAGAGGGACAGGTAGTACTGGTGGTCGGCCGTGACCCAGGCCGGGCTCAGCACGGCGCCCAGGTCCAGGCAGAGCGCCAGGAAGATGCACACCAGCCCCACCAGCTTCAGCGGGGTCAGCACCGACACGCGCACCTCCTCCATGCCGCTGCCGGCCGAAGCCATCGGGGGCCCCGGGCGGGAGAAGCGCGCTGCCGCTGCCGCCGC